TTAGATCCTGAATCCAAGGTACCTATTTCATGATTAGTGGCAAAGTTTATCATTATTACTTTAACAACCTTTAACACGTGTTAGACATTTGACCTGTCAGCTCCGAGACGTGCAATGCACATTTAGAAAAAGAACAAAGTACATGTTCCTATCACTGTGCATTTAACATCTCCCACAGGGGATTTCTCAGTGCCCTATCTTCACATCTGTAATCTTCAGCACAGAGGTAGACAGCAGACCTTACCATTTTTAAACACTAAGGCAACCAGGCTTGTCTAAAAAAAGAGAGAGACAAGAAAAAGTTGTTCTGAAGGGGAACGTGAATAAGTTAGGTGGATCCAAGAGAGACTTAACCACAGAAAAGAACTGAAGTGTGTTCTTGATTCATTCTTAGCAGTGTGTTTAGTTGTTTGGGTTTTTTTAAACCCAATATGCACTGGTGTGCACACCCTTCCACTTCCTTCCTTGAGTGGTAAAATATCCTCTTTGCAGGAAGCTTAATGATTGTGAAGGAACTTAATTTGAATCCTTTGCCCTGGCTGAGCTGTGCACATTTGTTCCAGTGATGTGTGCTCACAAATACTTTAGGTACCTACTTTCACACACACAAAATGTGTGCTCTGCCCAAGCCAGAGACACAGCTGAAATGCACTGACTGCTTGGGCAAGGCAGAGCCTTTCCGAGTCATTCCATAAGTGTCTTTTATTATAGAAAAACAAGATATAAAACACTTTTTGTTTTTCTTTATTTCCTTGTCCAACGTATAATGCAGTTCACTCCAGCTGCTTCAGCCAGTAATAGCAGAATCACACACTTCAGCCCAACAGTGCTCGTGATGGGTACTGCCAAACACCACCCAGACAAAAACACCACACTGATGAGGTCACACATACCATATGCTTAGCTTTAATGCTTCACATCCCCATCTATAGTCCTTCAAGTACACTACAATGCTTAAACAAATTAAGGCATGATCAGTTTTGATGCTGCACAACTTAATACATGATCATAACAAATACACATACTGTCACAGAGTAGTACAAGTAACTTCTCATTACAGAAAACCATTTCAGTTCTAATTATTTAATTTAGATCACACTTATTTGTCTGTAAGTAGGCTCACTGTATTTTTGCTTAAAACATTTTAATAACAGCCATATTTGAAATTATGTTAATTTTCAATCCATAGTGAGAACCACTATAAAAGCCATCACATTTGTCAATTTTTACTTAATCACAAATTAGACATGCTGTATTGTGAATGCAAAGTACAAAAATATTGCAGACCTGACTTACACATCACATTTCAAAACTGCATTTCCTGCAGACACTAGTGTGCCATAGAAAATGCATGTTGTTCCTTCCTGCAAAGGAACATGATTTTTATTTCATTGCTAGGCAAAGTACCACAGCAGATGTTCATATCTGCTTTTTCCTCAAGATCCCCTTGTCACCACCATAAAAAGAACTACATGACTAAACGGTCTGACCATCCCAGATTAATGAATGAGTCATTCTCAGTCACACACAAGTTCCAAGGAATTTTTACAGAGTAGAATTCAAAGCAGTACACATGTAAAGGGAAAGAAAAATCACACAGCATGTTTAGCTGTAAAGAACAAATCCACTGACAAGTGTTAATACTTGCTATAGAAAACCTTATGAAGATATGAAAAAATGGAAAAAGGCCAGTATAGCGCAGCTGCATATGCTACTTTTAATAACAATATTCATCTAGCTCTTATGAAAGCTGTTGAATCTCTTAACAATTGAAACATATTTATTTATGCCAAGAGCAGACATGGCATGGGAATCCACGGTTCACAATTCCCCATCGAGTTCTGCCAAAGTTTCTTTACTCCTGTAAAGAGGAAGTACCACTTCTGGTAACAACAGTAATTTAGTTCCTTGCCTACTCAAACTTTGCTTTTCCTGCCAAGACTAAAAGGATGCCAAGTGTGCTGTTTTCTTTGCCTTGAGCAGTTGTCACCTTCAAACTGGACAGCACCACCTTATTCACGAAGCCCTTTAGCCCAACAGTTCTGTTAAACAGCACTGTGTTTTTGATCAGAACTGATCTGAGCAGAATTTATACCGAATGCTCGTCTGCTGCCCATTCCTATTATTCTGAGTACATGCAACGATGGGAAAAATTACTCAATAGTTAAGAATTGTATCTGAAGTGAAATGGAGTCTTCCCACACAGATCCAAACTTTGTTTGTTTTGGCAGAAAGGTACTGGAATTTTAGGCACTAACAGCAAAATACAATAAAAAAGTGTTTAGATCCCCATGGTCTCCAAGGACTTCATATTGAAAATGTGCAGCCATGAGAGCTTAAACCAAAAACTAAACCCATTTAGAAAGACTCAGAGTTAACTCATCTCTGCAAAGAATGGTTCCTCAGTTCTGTCTTCTGCTCAAAAGCAGGCTAGCAGTATTCTAGACCAAACAAGGAAGCAAAAAGGCCATTTTTTTTTCTTCTTTTTAGAAAAGCAGATTTTCACAGGAAGTTCACCTGTTTTCATGGCAAAGAAAAAGAAGGCCTTCCAGAAAAAAAGGTACAAGTACAAACTACTTTACATTAAGTGACTGAAGGCTAGGAATGTAATTTCCAGCATTAACAAAGAATAACAAGGAAAATGGGTGGAGACAACCCTCCCACTCCAAGTATCTTTTAAGAGAAAAAAGTCTCATGATGATCAAGTTAGTATTTCTGTCTAATGCTGATACATAGGTCAGCATATTTTTAAAAATTGTGTCATTCTCCTAAAGGCATTATCATTCAGTAAAGTTCTTATCTGTACAACTAACTTCTTAATCTTAGCAATAAGACATTACTAGCCCTGCAAAGAGATATGCCTCAAAGTAATTTCTAAAACTTCTTATGCTCATTCAAAAGAAGAAATCTTTGCACTATTCATCAGTGAGCTCAATTTTCTTGTACGTATTTGATATCTGAGCAATAGTCAGTTATGATGCAAACTCTGGATGCTTTAGTCCTTAAACAGGAATCTCCATCAGCAACCTTCTTGTACCATTGAAACAAATAGACAATTTAGGTATCCCTTGTCACCAAACTACTTAAGAGTGATACGGATCAGCAGCCTCTATCTCAGGCTTTAATATGTAGCTGTTTGCTCCATGAGAGGGGGAAACAACCTGACCTCTCAGAGAGCTGCCCTCTCTGTGTCAAAAATGGAGGTCAAGAGTTAGGGAGACTAAGCTTATACCTGGAACTATTTTTCACAAGCTACTGCTTTGTATCTGCTTTTGGCAAGTATCTCTTTTAAAACTGAAGTTGCTAATGCCATTAATTACAGTATTATCTACCAAGATATAAAGCCAGCTATTCACATGACGCATTTTCAAAAACGATGCCTTCAATTTCTATGTATGTTTCCAAAGTGCTCCTATGCCAAATATTCTATGTATCAGGAAATACTCCTTGAAGTGAAGGACCTACAACATATATAGCACTGCTATGCTACTGTCAGCCAGGCTTGGCAATGAGACTATTCTGCAAAAGTTAGTCCTTCTCATATATTCAATTTGTTTTGCTCAGCTCATCTTGTGAGAAACGATCCATTGCCAAAAGGAAATTGATTACTGTTACTGGAATGAACGTCATCAGAGACATGATCTTGACATATTTCAGGCAAAGGACAGATGCTAGCACAAGTACTCGCTTTGTAAAATGAATCTGGAAGATTGTGACTGGACTCTGAGGGTGAATTTACGAGTGTGTATTAATGACTCAGCTCATTTAAGAGGTCGCTGCTGCCAGAGGAAGATATCCCACTCCCATGTTGCATCATCCTGACCCGCTCCCGAGAAGAAGCCACAGCACTCGCTGCACCCTGGGCTAATCCAGATCAGCTCACTAACATCAGGCTTTTCCCCCCACTCCCTCTCTCCCATTTTTGAAAAATCAAGGTTGTGCTGGTTTAGAAGGTTGAAGCCTTCTAGTTTAGAAGGCTGAAGCATGGGGTCTGATAATGGGAATTGTCCTTTGTGGTAGAGCCAAGCTGTTTGAGCAGCTCAAGTCATAACACATAACCTCACCCTGACAAGAAGCATTGAACTCATTTGGCTTCCCCACTACAGACATACGAAAGCATCAGCTGTTCCATGAACTGAACCTCCCTCTCCTTTGCTCAGGATTCTCTCTTTGTCACTTCTCTTTTTCTAGCTCTATATTTGGTATCCGGGAAAAAAGTCTTGGTGAAGGAGGAGGGGAAGAAGGGGTGTCAGGACAAAATTACATAGCATTTATTCAGGGCCATCTGTTATTCCAAGTCTCAAAGTACTATTTCTGTATCACCGCAGTGTACCATCCCAGCCGTACGAAAGAATTCATGGCTATTCTAATTGCCATCAGTTCAGCATCAGTTGAAGTATCAAATGTTTTCCTATCTGTTGTAGGAGAGATTTTTAGACCTTCTAAAGGGAGAAATAATTGTTTCTCTTTTTCTTTAAACAGACACATTTTATTGTATTTCTAATTAATGAAGGTGTTAAAATTATGGATACTGTAAATTTCTGCAGGCTTAGAAACAACAGGAAGATGAAGTGTTTTTTCTTTTTAAAAAATTATCATTTTTCTGCTATTTGTTCTTAAAAAAAACTGTTAAGTTGGATTTCACTGTAGTAGTGCAAAGACCTAAAAATTAAAGCCCAGCTTCAGAAGGATGGATGTTATCTTTTATCTTCTCTACAATTAATGGTACTGATTAAACTTTAAAGGGGTCAGGTATTTTACTTAAAGGTGGTTCAATAATACTAGTTGTGTAGTACTCCTTGACACGACCAGATTCACTAGAATCAGATGCAGTATCTGATACAATCTTTCACAAAATGAGTAACAATCTCTGCCAATAATCCACAGGAAATTCTTCCTGCAACACAGAACTTGATTGTAAAATGCACTTAAAAGTAACAAACACACTGATTTTAACTAAGCTAAATGGACAGTACTTATACACTAACCAAATTTCTTACCTGATAGGGCTGAAAGGCACTATCTTCAGTTATAAAATCCAGCTGTTTGTCCACAAGGAATTCTACTGCAGTAATTGAATTGTATACACTTTTTCCAACCAAGGGCTTGAATGTCTATTGGAAAAAAATAAGAAAATTAAATCAAACAACTAAAAAAAGCTCAGCACATCAAACCCCCAGGACTATATAAACACTGACATAATTCCTACATCAAAACACATTAAAAGAGAATAGCAGTTACTAATCATACAAAAAAGGAGGATTTTGCATTTTGTCGTTTTTCCTTTGTGTCGTCGGTGGAAAACCAGCTAGAAAAGGGAACTACACGATACACTCTTCCCTTCCCTCACTGTGCTTGAGCAAGAGTGCTTACCATGGAAGCTCAAAGTACAGGAGCACGATTATATCTTAAACATATAGCTTAGCACGCAGATCCTCTCTCTCTGCCTGCAGATCCTCTCTCTCTGCCTGCAGATACTCTCTCTCTGCCTGCAGATCCTCTCTCTCTGCCTGCAGATCCTCTCTCTCTGCCTGCAGATCCTCTCTCTCTGCCTGCAGATCCTCTCTCTCTGCCTGCAGGACTAGCTAGCGCAGTGGTAATTACACTAAGGACGCTGAAGTGGAAACTGACTGCAGACGTGAAAATGCTCCCCCCCTTCCTGTTCTGAAATAGTTCACCTTGCCTCAAGTCAACCATCTCATTTCCCTGCCTGTCTCTGCATCTGTTCTGACTCTGCTGCCTGCCGCCCCCACAGCCGCTCCTCCCTGCAGCAACCGGCAGCTCCAGCACAACGGCTTCAGCTCACAGCACCCAGTCCCAAGGCTTCTGCAGCAGGGCCAGGAGGTTTCCTGCTTCCTCCCACGTGCTGGCGAAGCAGTGAGGGGCCAACGGTAGGAAGCAAAAGCCAGGCACGGAGAAAGAGCAGAGAATAACAGGCTCCTCAATTCCCCCACATAGTCTTTGCCCAAAGCACCCTGCCTCATCCAGGCACAGCGAGATGCAGTAGGCGAGGGAGAAGGGAGCCATGACTTCAGCAGGTTTCCCCTGAGAGGAGACAAGCAGGCGGTCCCCTTCCCTGCTGGCTGGGTTTCCTGGAACAGAAGCGCAAGGAGAGCGTGACTGAGCAGGGATGCACTGAGAGGGGATAAGTCAGGTGAAAAGGAAATCCCAGCGGATGGAGGGGAGAGAAAATGCCGCTCTCAAGACAGACCGGAACAGCAAGAGGAAGGCACGGATGAACAAAAGAAATGACTAGCAGAAAGAACGTGCGGGATATAAGGGAAAAAAACATGGAGGAACAGAAAAAAATAGAGGAAAGTTATTCTACAGGACAAAAAAAAAAATAGTAATGAGGGAAAACAGGAAAAGAAAAAAGCCCTTTCATACTGATTCTAAATTTAAAATGCAGGAGAAAAGACAAGAGAACCAAGAGCCTTGTGCAAATGCTATACCAATATCTGTAAGATGTCGCTACCGCAACAGGGCATCACTAGCTCACAATACAACAGCCCACAGCAACAGACCCCAATTACTTACAAGGGGAGGGCATGATCACTGCTGTCTATTTACAGATGGGGAAACTGAGGCACAAAGCAATCTCATAAATTGACTAAAGCCACCTAAGCAGGGCAGCAGCACTGCCAGTGACCCGCCCTCAGTCAGTCTGCAGGCAGCTCATAAGAGATGCACTCAAGGTTTTATCAGACTTCATTACCTACTTCACAAAGGTGTTGCCTTGCGATTAGGCTAAATATAACCCAAGTCTCCCTGGAGCTTCAGCTTTGGCACTTACTACATAAATGAGAGAATACTCCACTGGAGATACACAACACTTTCTAATAAATATATCCAACTCTACAAATGCTCAGATTTTATGTACTGCATTCTTGTTTCCATTTTATTTAAGGTTTCCCTTCCGATGGTATCCTTTCTCATGCAAGCAAGGGAAAAAAAACCTATCAGCCAGTCAGCCATCTCAACAACGCCGTTAACAAGATTAAAAAAATGGAGGGGCAGGAGAACACGATAATATACTAACTATAGAGCCTGAATAGTAAATAATTATTTAACCTTTAATAGTTAAGAAAGGGCTTTTGCTCTTGCATAACTTTTCTATAATGGATCTGGAATTGCTAATGGTTCGAGTTAAGAGAGGGTGGAGTTCAGACGGTGAATTGCAAAGTGTTGAGTGTATAAACTCACAAGCAGACAAACTTTTTCTTTCAAAAAGTCAATGTTGCAGGGTTTCAGTTCTTAATTCACCCCTGTGTCTTCGCATACACTGTTCTACTTTTTCCACACTGGTTCCTTTCTAACTTTCTGTTTTACTGTTCAGGTTAAGAAACACATTTCCGATTACAAACAACAACAGCACATACCGCATCATTAGCTGAAATGAAACCCTGTGGAATGTGGCTTGCAGTTATCAGTCAGGATTCAGACAACACTGCAGATTAAGGTACGTGTGAGCCACCAGTTTATTTTAATGCTGGTATTAAAAGAACTAGTTCCAAATATAGATCTATGAGCATGATTATTCTGAGAAGAGAAACGTAATGCCTTCTCACTTGCTTTCACAGAGCTAAGCTCTAGACAGGCCAACGCCCCCAAAACACACATGAGGAGGATGCAGGCTATCCCACAAGCACAGAGGAAAAATATGTAAATAAATACAGCAATGCTACACCATGTCACACACCTCCTCATAGGCGGATGGCTGCTCAGCTGCACACAACTTGAAATTTTTTTCAGACACTATTAGAAAACATTCCCACTATCAAAGATCAACAAAACCCCACCCTTTAAAAAAAGCAGGTCTTCCTGGGAAAGTCCAGACTCCATCAGCTCCAGGAGACAGGCAGGCCACCAAGAAGATATCCAAACCGGGACAATTTAGGGATTTGAAAAATCTTCAGACTGAAGACATGACCAAACTTCACACCACACACCGCATATGCACAAGGAAAAACAGACGAAGAGCAGAGCAGGCAAGAGTCAGATACTAGAGGTAAGCAGGTGAGGCATGTAACAACACGAAAGTAGATGTAAGAAGGTCCAACAAGCTCCTTGAAGACTTTAAGAAGGCACTCCCATATTCCATTCCCCAAAGTGGAGGACAAGTCCAGGGAGAATCAGGCATACTGGCTGAAACCAGGAAAAACTGAACCTCTTCAAACAAAATTCTCCCTTTCAAACTCGCATAAAGCTTCCTTTTACAATCTACATTAACCCAACTCCCTGAAGACCACAATTAAGCACAGGACTCAAGCACTCAATTTTAAGCGTCTGACTTCAGCACTCTTCTAAGCGGCTGCATGAAAAAAATCCCAAACTTTCTCCACCATATTTCCCCGCTTGGGCAAAGTGAGCTCTATGAACACATACACATACTTTAACTGCTTTGCTACGTTCCCCAAAACTGAACAAAACACATTTTTTACTCTGCACACACCCCGCCACCCCCACCTCCCCCCCATGATTTTACCCCACTTCATGCAAGAAATAACCTGCCTACAAAAGGCACCTGGCACAGCTCTGAGACCAAGGAGAAAAAATGGGTATGGACCTTTCAGAAATCAAATAAAGTTTTAGAAAATATTAAATACCATCAATTCACAGCAAAAACATCTCAAAAGTATTCAATGGCATTCACCAAATACTCGCAAATACAGGACATCACTCACGGACTGCTTTTTCTAACGCCCAGCAACACAACTACACAACTCATCTATTTATCATTTTAAAAACCCCATGGCAACCATAGGTCCTGCTTTCCCGAGGAAGCAGTACTGAGCAAGCACATAGTGAATTTTTATCTCTGCCTAACGCAATTAAACAGCTGGAGACGTGGTAAGCCATCCCCACCATGTGAGAAGGCAGTTCCCTGGCACTGGCCAGGGCTCCAGGAGCTGCTGCTGCAGCCTGGGCGCTTGCAGGCTGTGACATCCAGCACCATGCTCACTGCAGCAAACGCTCAGGTTACAGCTGAGCCCGCAGCTGCCACTGCCTCATCCCGCACATCCCACCAGCTCGTCTGCCTCACCCGAGCTCACAGCCTGCTTGGCTGGGCACCCTACGCCTGCAGCCTGCTCCTCACAACGCAAAAGCACATTTTTTCCTATGTGAGTGTACCGCATTTGCTTTTTTTTTTATCTCTCTGAGGCATTTATACTGTAAAGCGAACAAACTTTCAACAAATAATGTATTCAAGAAAGCTATTCTTAATCTAAAATGTGTAATGTGAATATTCACTGCATTCTTTGGCAAAGACAATAGCAACAAAAATTGAAAAGATCACGTAAACTTAACTTACACGTACTATTCAGCAAACTTTCCTACATATTGTTCTTTAGCATCACTGTTTAGACTGCAATAGCGCAAACACTGGCATCTTTTCGTTATGACACTTAATCGTTAAACTTCAAAAATAGCTGTAGCTCTCTTCCAACGCCTGTTTGTTGCCATGGTTTGTTCTCAAAGGCTGAATTACCGAGCGGAAGAGAGAGAAAGAAAAAATACAGCACATCTACCATAAAACCCGAGCACCGACTTTCCTCCTTGGCAGCCTACTTGGCCTGCACTCCCTACGGACGAGCCCGTTTCCAGCCAAGGCGTTTCTCCGGGCGGAACTCCCTCAGCCCTTCCCCGGAGGGGGTGTCGGCGCCCGCAGCAGGAGGAAGTAACCGGCGGGGCCCCCGCACA